GTCTCTTCTTTTCTGGGATGTGCCTGCAACCCTTCACATACCCACTTTTCCAATAATATAATTAATAAATTTATAAAATTACTGGCACCAGACAAGTATTATTTGGGCAAGAAGCCATCAGTCTAATAGATGGTACTCCAACCAATGTCGCATTAAAGGCTTGGCACACAGATCATTTAAGCCCCAAGCAATCAATTATTTTTTGAACCCAGTGAGTACTCTTTCAAAAAAGACGACTATTCAGAGACACCCTCTTTAAAGTGAGTCATTTGCTAAAACGTGATTAGGAGAAATAACTGCAGAATACCACACAGAATCACAGAATCACAGAATGGTAGGGGTTGGAAGGGGCCTCTGTGGGTCATCTAGTCCAACACCCCTGCCGAAGCAGGGTCACCCAGAGCAGGCTGCACAGGACCTTGTCCAGGCAGGTCTTGAATATCTCCAGAGAAGGAGACTCCACCACCTTCCTGGGCAGCCTGTTCCAGTGCTCCGTCACCCTCAGAGGGAAGAAATTCTTCCTCATGTTCAGACGGAACTTTCTGTGCTTCAGTTTGTGTCCAAAAACCAGAATCATCCCATCTCCCCGGGAAATGGTAAAAATGAAAATGTCCAGCGACACATTTCCAGAGTGACAAGACAGCAGTGGCAGAAGCTATAATGAACTTTAGCCAGATAATTCGTGAAGATTTACAGTGCAAGAAGCAGTGTAAGGTGCATTCAAGAAACAATCTCTCTTCATGGCCATCGGTAAGTTCTTTCCCCATCACCACACTGCAGTCTATCTGCTGCATAAAGGAGGGCCAAGACCCAGAGGAAAGTGGTTCACCCTGAGCCCTGTGATCCCAAAAAGCAGAACATTTCCATGTGTCTCTACTGGTAGACTTCCCTGTGAAAACCTACAAATTATAATTAAAATTGATCATTTTATCCAACAACTGCACATTCATCTAAAAAATTCAATAATATCCGTGTTCACGTGCCATAAACTGGAAAGTTTACAGAACAGATTTCCACTTTTCCACTTGCCTTTATCTCCCTCTGACCCCAAGCCCAGCCTTCTCTTTCTTCACAAAGTATGAGCCTGAAGCATTTCTGGGTGAATCCTGTTATGTGTTTGCCTTATGTTCTTAGCGCTAAACTCATTGATTTTCATACATCTTTCCTCCCACAGCAACTCTTCATTAAAATGCTTTCAGCTGTGAACAAAAACAGCTCGACACAGCAAAAAGCCAATGGTAAGCCTGAAAATACCAAACCAAAATTGAGACTCTCCTGCAGCAATGCCTTATTCCTCTCCATCAGTCTGTCTTGATGGGGTCCTGCAAATGTCCTTGAAATTACCCCATTTCCTAGAAATCAGAGTTTTCTCTAAGGGTTAAATTGAATTTCTGGAGGGAAAAGCATGATTGCATGGAAATGCTAGTCTGCATTTGACAAAAGAACAGGTGGATGTCTTATGATAATTGAATTACAAATCAGTGCCTGCTGCTGACAGGGTATTGTACGCTGCCAACTAGCATCAGATATTTAAAATCCTCTGTAATTACCTATAATGGGGGAGTGGAGTGTGCTGCTGTGAATTTTTAATATGAACGTGCCTTTTTATAAGAGATCATTCTCTCTAAAATGTGAGATTATTACAGCATCACTGCTCCTCGCATCCTACTGTCTAAAGGAATATTTCTAGGTCTGTGTTTTCCAACAAGCTGTCAGTTAAACAGGGCTGAAGATATGAATCCAGCAGAGGGTAATGGTCAAAAGCCTTAAATTTCAACAAAGCCAGGTCTCAAGGGGAAAAATAAAATAGTAAAAAAAAAAAGGGAAGTTACAACACAAGTTGCAACAGCCAGACTATCGCAATAGCATGGAAATATGGATGTTCTTACAACCTACCTTTGACAGACTGTGAAGTAAGATGCTTGGGAACTTCTCATTCAATTTGGGGGCAGAGAGGACAGTTTTTTACAAAAGTCCTCGGTATTTTTTTCAACGACCATTGGTTGGCTTTGCAGAAAATGCAAACAGAACATTTCATTTTACATCAACTCAAATTAATCTATGTCCTAAGCTGTGGAACATGGTCCTACTGGAGTTGCTATTTGAAAATACATGTTCCTGTTCTTCGCTATATGCCTTTTTGGCTGGACCACACTCCAATACATCACACATTACTTCTGCTTGCAATAGGAGGACTGCAAAAGGAGGGAGCAAAGTGTTTGAAGTCTCCAGTGCTATTTCTGTTCTACAGTCCTCCTCAGGAGGGGCCACCCTTCTGCACCTTAGAAGTTGTGGGTCTTCATATAACCCATATAACTTAGAGACCACAAGGAAAGGAATTTCTGCAGAAAATCTCCCATGTGAGACAACAAGTTCTTACAGACCCAGTAGTCCCATTGCAATCTGGGGACAGACAAGGTATGCAGTTGGGTCCCAAAGCTACCTGCTGCTTCTCCCTTGCTCGCTTGCCTTTTCCCTTGACCTAGGATTTGATCTGCTTTGCAACTCCTATGCAGATCAACTCCACTGCTAGTCCTCCACTGCAATCTTGACATGGGAGCTACCTTTGAACAGGTCCAGAGTTACTCCCCTTCTGCGTGATACTAGGTTGAGAATTCAATACACTGGATTTGTTCACAGTTTTAGCAACAGGCAAAAACTAAAACTAAGTGGACTCGGTCCACTTACATGAAAGTTTGATCTGCAAAGTCCCGTTAAAAAAAAAGTGTCACCTTGTCTTACTTCTGTGCTCAGTTTTTTGCAGTGGTCTTCACTATGTTGAATTTTACTGGCACCGCTCCCTAAAGGCAGCAAATTTCAATGTCATACAGATGAGTATCTTGAGAAAGCAAACTTTACAATTTGCACACACAAGTCCTCGGGCATTCATCCAATCATGAGTAGAAATAATGTTACTCATCCAACTGATTGCAAATGAGCAACACAGCTTGAATCCTGAATATTTGCAATCAATCTATAGAGTAAAAAGAGAAAAAAATACTCTTCTCATTATATAAAAAGGAAGAAATCACAATCTGCTTGCCAAGACTCTGGAAGTAGATTAAGAAGCTTAAATCATTGAATAATTACACTTATTGTGAATGACTTGCTCTTTTGCTTATCAAGTAGATTTCTAACAAGCTTGTCGCTATATCACAGCACTACCTTTCATCCAAGAATCCCGAAGAGCTTTACAAGTGGTAGTCAAGTCTGATAACATCCTGTTGAAAAGTGTGTGCATCATCTAAAGGTGGGTAAAATTAGGCACAGAAATACAACAACTTGCTCAAGGTCACAAAGAGAATCAATTACTTAAGCAGTGGTAGAACTTCTAAGATTTTTCCAGTCTGCTTTTCTAAGCCCAAGATCTAGTGCAACTACACTGATTTTAAGAGTAATAATAATTATTATTTAAAAGTCATGTTGTAGGTTATCTGCTGCCATTGTAATTTATTTCAGGTTTAGGAGAGGGGGTCCCCCACAAATGTTCCAGAAGACAGCAGACTTTCTAAGGTCAGGAATTAGATTTTTCTCTGCGTCAATGTAATAGCTGGCAGTGTTTTGTGTAATTTATATTGTGCTATCTCTGAGAACCACACAGTGATTTTTAGAAGACAAGCGATTTCCTGTAAGAACCGAATTGTTTCACAGAAGGGACACTATCAGCACTGAATAATGAGAATTTGCATAGCTTTTCTATTCAGCACAAGAAATTCCTTCTTTTTCAGGAGGGAAAAAAAAGGT